TGTTTTGAGCAATGATTTTAGTAAACGTATTTCAAAATTTCATAGCAAATTTTGGCAGGAGGTCTTATTTTATATTATAGCTTGTTAATATGTGAATTTTGAGCTTTTAACTCGCCAAGACAGGACTTCCTATGGTCATGGGTCAAAGGCCATGTCATCATGTTTGTAGACTTACATTTAAAATTTTATTGAACTACCATTTTATGAATGTATGTGAATAAGTTTGGTATCAAGTTGTGGATTATAATTAAAATTTTAGTATTACACATTAGTTAATTTCTTAAAGGAAATATTTAATAAAATCCTAAATATTGAATTTTGTGTGTCACATGGTATGTTGAATACGGCATTGGTTCAGATTAGATGTTTATGATGACCAAATACAAAGTCTATAGTTTCTTACAAATTAGGAACTCAAATTATCAATATTGAAAAGCTAGAATATAAAATAAGAACCTTCTATTTTCCATTTGCTGAGATAATGCAACATTTAGTGAATCAAACACAGCAGGCCCTGCCCACCTTATTCCATTTTTTGGAGATGCTTACATACACCTACTCTGTCTATGACATGTGAATAACCAACTGAAAGCTCAGGATGTCCCCCACATGGTTCTTTGAGCCTCTGGGAAGTACTTATGCAGGAAACCCACTCTTCATTGTAGATTCCAAGTGGTAAGGCAAGACATTATTGAGCTTGAAAAATCATATTTTTTTTACTAAGTCTAATAAATTACAGTGGAATTCTGTGGTATTTATATAGTAATTTATGATTTATGATTTTTTATTTTAAAATGTATGTATAAAACATAAAAAAATATTTTGGTTTACATTCTCTATGTGCAAAGGCTTAGCAAATTATGGCAAGCAGCAAATGGTTACAAAGTTCTTAACTATAAGAGATAATTGTTCTCTATGCTTCTTTATTTACTGTTCTATGTTTTAAGAAAAATAACTGAAATGTAAGAACATACTTGTAAATAGCAATAATGTATATACATATATAATGCATTATAACTGAAATGTGACTATTTTACAAAATACTGGTCCACTAGAACACAACCAAGACAGGTCACTTTGTAAAGGCTAGTTTTATATTATTGGATACAGTAACATTTGTGCATGTGCACCCTGTCACTCAACTTCTGTAACATTAGACACTGCTGAAAGAGCAATAAAATAAAATAAAAAAAATTTATGTATGTAAAATGTTATGAGATTTAAGTTATTTAGACTAATTATTTATGGTTTTGCATTATCATGTGTAGTAACTTGAATCTATTTCCTTTTTTATGGTGGTTACGAGGTCAGTCAAATCAACCAAACCTATACAGAGATACAATAGTGAAAACAACAGATAAAACAAAGGTTCTTTTCTAAAAAAATTTTTGATAATTATCTATAGGATATTAGAAGGTTATAGAAATTTCACATATGAAATCTGACAATTTTCTGATGCATAAAAGTATTTTTAATCTTACAATCAAAATTACTTCACATATTGGATAGTCACTATTTGAAAAAATACACGAGCAAGTAATTAATTTAAAAATGTTAAACTTAATTAAAAAATTTGATACTTTGTCTACGAATGCCTTGTAATGTTTACTGATAATCTGCAAAATTTTGTAAAGATATTTGTGCATTTAAAAAGTTACAGTTAACTGTCTTATGGTTGCTTTTGGGAATATGGGCTGGGTGGAATCCACTCACCAGTATTAGAAGGGTTAATTGATTAAACATTGCTCACACTGTACAGTAAAAAGTAATAAGTATATTGAACAACTTATAGTACATGCATGTCATGTGATATGCAACAGTGAGTACTAAACAATTTTTTCATAATTCCTTTAGAATTAAGAAATTAAATCTTGTACAATATTAAAATTTGGTTTACTAACTACATTTTGATGACAAGTTTATTGACATAATTGATAACAAAATAGTTTAAGTTTTTTTACATAACACTAAAAAGTCATGACGTGCATTTTGTCCCACCCGTTCATAGGGTTAATAAAGAAAAATAAAATTAAACGTAATAGTTAAGTTAAAACCATCTTCATTTAGATAATGAATACATTTCCTTTCATGCAAACTGAAAGCTACGACGTACTTCTTAGAAAGTATTCTAATATTACAGAATGTTCAAATTTTTTTTTTTTTTCCTAATTTGTACCTAATAATAAATGGTTACCATATATTGTACAGATACATGTAGAAAATTAATTAGTTATAGCCCTTCTCTTATACGGGATTTGTTCCAATGTACCAACCACAAGCACATTCAGTTAAATGGCTAAAACACATACCTTACTTACAATTGTGGGGGTTGAAGGAAATGTAATAATGTCCTCAACTTGATTATGGCTAATTACCTGTTTAGGTTTGGTATGTTTGATTCCTGAAACAATTACTTTCAATTCCCAGTTAATTATCTGACTGCCCAATCTTAATATCAATTAAATTATTTTACTTTATTTTAATAATATTTAAAAAGAGTATTAAGTTTAACTAAAAAGCTAGATAACAGTATTATCTTTGCCTAGTAAACTACAAATAAGTTAAATTCCTTTATCATTCGGAACTACAAAGTATAACCACCATGCATCAAATCCAATAACAGTTTACAGCAAAAACTAAGCTTGTTAAATTTTTGCAGATAAGAATCTGCTCTTTTTCATTGGTTATAAACAAATAGCCATGTAAAGTGATTAGCAGACAATCTCAAAGTTTGGCATGTGTGAAAGGGAGATTCTAGTCAAGATACAAGGTTCAATTTTTGTAATTATGTATAGTTTGTGTTTCTAATTTGTTAAAAACTGCAGCAACCTACTTTCAATGTTAATAAAACTTCATAAGTAAAGAAATCACAGCTCAGACGCAACACGTGGCACAAAAAAAAGGAAGACTGAGTATTTCTAAGTATTTTTTTTAATGTGCTAAGAAAGCTGCTTCTTATAGAGGTTTGCCAACCAGTCAGACTGATACTATGTTACCCAAAAATGAGAAAAAAATAAAATAATTATTTATCTTTTATGATTTTATTTTTTTGCTGAAAATTAAAATTTCTTCATTTGAATTAGCATCTTTAATTGTTGGCTCTAAATATATTTGTGTATCACTATCAGCCATAGCTACATAACTTCATGAGCCTTCCTGGCAGAAGTGAGATTCAATGGATACAAGAAACAATAATATAGTTGATGCTGAATCATAACAGGGCATTGTATAACAATAACTAGCTTATATATATATATATATATATATATATATA